TAGAATATAACAAGAATTGTTGAAAAAATGGGAATAGATACTAAATTTATAGTGGATAGGCTAATTTGGATAAGATGATAAGAAGATTGGAAACTGGAGAGCAACTTGGAAAGGAGAAACAATGTAAAATGTAGGTGGAGAATATATTAATGGAAATAAGTAAGGTTAATGGGTCGACATTTTTCCAAATTATTGGAGGTTATATATATTACATTATTCGATTTAGCGAGGCAAAAGTGGTTGAAATTGGTTAGTACAATAATAATAAACGAAGTGGCAGTTGGAGGTATAAATACGGAGATAAAGAATTGTATAAATAGAAAATTATTAACTAGGGGTGGTGGAAATTATAATTAATTAGGAGTGAAAATTGGAAAATGGATTGAATTGTTGGATGGATTTTGGATGGAATCTTAAGTCACTTATATCGGTGATTATAATATGAAAGGAATGAAGATAGGTAGATGGGATATTTTGTATTGTAAAAAAGATGAGAAAGAATATAAGTAAATGTAAATATATAAATTAACAATCTTCTAGTGGTGGTGGATCATATGATTAAGAAGGAAACGAAAAAAAGATTGGAAAGTGGATAGAATTGGTTGAAAGGTTTTATTTATTGAAATAAATCACTTAGAATGGTGAATATAACATGAATGGAATTAAGGTAGGTAGATGGGATATTTTGTATTGTAAAAAAGATGAGAAAGAATATAAAGAAATGTAAATATTATATAAATTAACAATCTCCTAGTGGTGGTGGGTCATATGATTAAGAAGGAAAATAGAAAAAGATTGGAAAATGGATAGAAGTGGATAATGGGTTTTATTTAGAGAACAAATAAATTTATTAAGGTGAATATAATAGGCAAGGTATGAAGATTGGTAGGTGGGATAGTATGTATTGTGCGTATGTAGAGAAGGAATATAAGAAAATGTAAATATTATGTATTAGAAATATAGTGGTGGTGGATACTATGATTAAGATGGCAATTAGAAAAAGATTGGAAAGTGGGTAGAATTAGATGAAGAGTTTAGATGGGATAAATAAGCCACTTATATTGGTGAATATAATAGGCAAGGTATGAAAATTGGTAGGTGGGATATTATGTTTGAAAATTAAAAAATGTAAATATTATTTTAGTATAGAATATAGTGGTGGTGGTTTATATGATTTAGATGGTAATTTGAAAAAGATTGGAATATGGGTAGAATTGGATAAAGAATTTACAGATGTTATGTTAATTGTTTGCGTTGGTGAATATAATGCAAATTAAATGAAGATTGGTAGATGGAATAAAATAAATTTATAATTGTCTAGTAATAAATGGTAGTATTGTTATGAAATCTATTAGTGGGTTGATATGTTTTGGAGGATAATATGATGAAGATGGAAATAAAAAGATTGGAAAGTGGGTAGAATTAGATTAAAATTTTCAATCTAATTAATTTACTTATAGCGGTGAATATAATATACAAGGTATGAAGATTGGTAGGTGGGATAGTATGTTTGAAAATAATAAATTGTAAATATTATATAAGTCTAAGGAAAATAGTGGTGGTGGATTATATGATTAAGATGGTCATTAGAAAAAGATTGGATAGTGGGTAGAATTAGATCAAAATTTTAAATCTAATTAATTAACTTATAGTGGTGAATATAATTTGCAAGGTTTGAAAATTGGTAGGTGGGATATAATGTTTGAAAATAAATAATTGTAAATATTATATAAGTCTAAGGAAAATAGTGGTGGTGGATTATATGATTAAGATGGTCATTAGAAAAAGATTGGATAGTGGGTAGAATTAGATCAAAATTTTAAATCAAATTAATTCACTTATAGTGGTAAATATAATATACAAGGTATGAAGATTGAAAGGTGGGATATAATGTTTGAAAATAAATAATTGTAAATATTATATAAGTCTAAGGAAAATAGTGGTGGTGGATCATATGATTAAGATGGAAATTAAAAAAAGATTGGAAAGTGGGTAGAATTAGATCAAAATTTTAAATCAAATTAATTCACTTATAGTGGTTAATATAATATACAAGGTATGAAGATTGGAAGGTGGGTTACTATGTATGATTCATATGGTGGATCATATGATTAAGATGGAAATTAAAAAAAGATTGGATAGTGGGTAGAATTAGATGAAAATTTTAAATCTAATTAATTCACTTATAGTGGTGAATATAATTTGCAAGGTATGAAAATTGGTAGTTGGGATAGTATGTTCGCAAAAAACAAATTGTAAATATTTTCTAAGTATAAGGAAAATAGTGGTGGTGGATCATATGATTAATCTGATTAAGATGGTAATTAGAAAAAGTTTGGAAAGTGGGTAGAATTAGACGAAGGATTTAATTGGTCGAAATAAGTCACTTATAGTGGTTAATATAACATGCAAGGTGTCAAGATAGGCAGATGGGATAGCATGTATGATAAATATAAATTAATGTAAATATTATTAAAGTATAAAGTGGTGGTGGATCATATGATTAAGATGGAAATTAAAAAAAGATTGGAAAGTGGGTAGAATTAGATTAAAATTTTCAATATAATTAATTCACTTATAGTGGTGAATATAATATGTAAGGTAGCAAGATTGGTAGATGGGATTATATGTTAGAAAATAAAAAAATAATATTAAAGTATAAGGAATATAGTGCAGGTGGATAATATGATAAAGATGGCAATTAGAAAAAGATTGGAAAGTGGGTAGAATTAGATGATAAATTTCAATTTAATAAATTCATTTATATTGGTGAATATAATATTCAAGGTATGAAAATTGGTAGGTGGGATAGTATATATGGCATGTATGATTTTTATTTCTAAATGTAAATATTATTTAAGTAAGGAATATAGTGCTGGTGGATCATATGATTAAGATGGAAATTAAAAAAAGATTGGAAATTGGGTAGAATTAGATCAATAATTTGATAAATAATTAACTTATATTGGTGAATATAATCTGCAAGGTATGAAGATTGGTAGGTGGGATAGTATGTATGATACATATAAATAAATGTAAATACTATTTAAATATAAAGTGGTGGTGGATCATATGATAAAGATGGAAATTAGAAAAAGATAGGAATGTGGGTAGAATTAGATGAAAAGTTTAAATCAAATTAATTCACTTATAGTGGTGAATATAATATGCAATGTATGAAAATTGGTAGGTGGGATAGTTTGTTTGAAAATAAAAAATTGTAAATATTATTTAAGTATAAAAAATATAGTGGTGGTGGATCATATGATAAAGATGGCAATTAGAAAAAGATAGGAATGTGGGTAGAATTAGATGAAAAGTTTAAATCAAATTAATTCACTTATAGTGGTGAATATAATATGCAAGGTATGAAGATTGGTAGGTGGGATAGTTTCTATGATGGATATAAATAAATGTAAATATTATTTAAGTAATAGGAATAGTGGTGGTGGATCATATGGTTCATCTGATGGGTATGGCAATTAGAAAAAGATTGGAAAGTGGATAGAATTAGATGAAGGATTTAATTGGTCTAAATAAGTCGCTTATAGTGGTTAATATAATATGCAAGGTATGAAGATTGGTAATTGGGTGAACATAAATATAAAATGAAAAATAATATAAATATATATATAATCGAATGAAATCAACATAAATTAGCATCTTGTTGCATTTTAAGTAGGTTTACCCACTAGTAGTTACTGTAAAGTTACCATGTAATTATAAGGGTTTGGGTTTGGCCCATTATAAATTTATTTCAAAAGATAATATTGTATGTTCTAACAATAAATTTTTTTTTTTTTTTTAAAAAGATAATTTGTGTAGGGTTTGCCCACTAGTAGGTTTAATTCAGCATT